TTTTAATTTTAGTGATAAATATCAGTCGCAAAAACAGTTTGCTATTTTTCTTGGTGCGTATTTTGTTTTTCTCATTTTTTCTACTTTTTTTTTGTTGTTGTGAATTTAGTTGGTTTGGTTTTGGGGGTTTATTTGGGGGAGGCTGGGGGCTTTGGTTTGGTTTCTGCTGGAAGCTATTTAATGCTACCTGCTTTAACTGTAATCTCTTCCAGATACTGAAATTATGAAGGTTTGGGGGGAAAAAAAAATACCTGGAGACAAGAGTGATGCTCATGGCAGGCTAACACAACACACGAGCAGCTGTTAAGTGCTCATATGAGGAGTTACTTATATATGTGGGATTTTTTCCTCTCATTAAAACCTACAATTTGATTTCAAAAGTTACTGCAAGCCATCGTGTTGATGTCACAGCAGCTCAGTCAATCACAATAGAACTGATTTTGGGTAATTTTGAAACTGTAGTTTCATTTGGTATAGAAAGCACTAAATGTTCTCCTGCTTTTTATTGTTTAACTGGGGAGGTAAGGCACCTAGCAGGTGTATTTCTGAGGAAAGGGGTGGGCTGACATTTTGCTTTTTCAGTGAGGGCTTGTGGTAAGCACATTACAAACTTACCACAAGGCTTTTATAGAAACATTCTGTTTCAGACAGTGCCATTCAAAATTACTGCTCTGCTGTGGATAGATATTACTCTTTCCCTGTGGTAAAACAAAATATTGAGGAAAAATTATTGGATACTGGCTGGTTGTTTGCACTTTCTTTTCTTCCTGCATGGCTCTGAAGCATCAGGCAGGAGTATCTGATTGTAGATGGTGCACAATGCTCAGCATGACCACCGGCCTTCCTTGTAGAGCCTCGCGCTCAGGCTCATGCCCAGCTGCCAAGGGAAGGACAATAATGCCCATCATGATGCTGCTCTCCAGCTTTCCAGTGCCAGCACCAGGATCCTGCAGCTGTGCAGGGAGCTGCGTTATGGGATGGATCCAGCTTCCCCAGAAGCCTCCCTGGCACACTAGCCCTTATTTTTCAGCTGGATCCATTTTCTGGAGTGCACCGTTGCTGCCCATAGTGCCTGCACCAAGGAATGTGCAAGCAGCCACGTGCAGCAGGAGTGCAGGCTCCTCTTTTGGCAGGAGTGGGAAAGGTTTTGCCCTGGATACCTGTTTCAGCAGGATGGAGGAGGCTTGAAGAACAGCAGCTTGCTGACCTGCAGTGTAGCTCAGGGACCTTTCCTTGGCAATCGCACAAATCCTGTCCCAGGATATTGTTTCATCTGGCAGCGTGGTCCCAGGAGTGGAGTGAGGGTGCTGTGTGTGGGTCAGCAGGAGAAGGGCTGTCCTTAAGTGAGCTGTGCTGCTGAAGCCAGCTAATGATGAAATCAGGTTTCATCAGTGTCCACCTGTAAGTCAGGGTTCCTCCAGGATCCTGCAGCACCTGGAAATAAGCAGGTAGCTTGGCAACAGCCAAGAGAATGGTTTGGAGAAAAGATGGCAGGAAATGCTGAGTGAGATGTCCAGTAAAGACAAGGTCATCAGCAGTTGGTCTGTTCTGTGGGTTTTCAAGTCCTAAGCTTGTAATTGTTGTGTAAATAACCTTAAAAAACAATCAAAGCCCACAACAACTCTCCCCAAAGCCCACAAAGAAATAAAAAATCCCTCACCACCCCAGCTCTGGGCAATGCAGGTACTTCTATCTGCTCAAGGACAGGGGGAGGTCTGCTAAAATCCTTTTTAGTTTCTTCCAACTGCTACAGTTACTGAAAGAAATATTACCTATCTTCTTACTAGCTTATATATGAGGCTGGAAAAAATGTTGAGAAATTAACCAAATTGTAATCTTTCTTACCAGGGCAGGGATACAGAATGTCAGGCTGAAATCTAGAGATACTTCTGAATAAGGAGGTAACAAAGAAAATGTATATGCAGAAAGATTATTTGATTCATGTTTAAGACTGTACATTTCTGAGGGCTGTGACTGAGAGGCCCCAGACAAGGATGAGTTGCTTTTTGTAGTAAGGTATCAGACAACATTCTGCAATAATTTAAAGTGAAGTTGTGCCAAATGCTTCCCTGCATATAACTCTGGGAATTTGGCCTAGCAGAACTGGCAAAAGCTGTACAAAATGATACTGATGCTCCTGACAAAATAAGCTGCAGTGGCTCCTAAATCACATGAATTATCTGTCCCTCTTGGCTTGTCTCTCATAGGCTGCAGACAAACGTTCTGCTCTGCCTCCCACTACACTACTCGGACAAAAATCATCTGGGCTGGCTTAAAGGACAGTGCCACAGAGTAGCTGGTGCCAGCACTACCTCACAAGGTCCCTCAGGTGTTTTCCCTGGGTGTGTGTCCCACCTGCAGCTCGGGGTGGCAGTGATGTGTGGAGCTCAGAGGTGAGATGCAGAATTGCTCCAAAGTGTAATCAGAAGCGTGCAAATGGCTGCAGCTCTGGACAACCACAGCTCCTTGTAGGTTAAACAGGGAAAAATGTCTTGGCTTAAGGAGAAACTGGACTTATTCAGACAGAGTCGTATGTTCTTGAAGCACTGTTAAATTGTTCTGCCAACAACATAAACTAAGTCTGCTGACTCCTGCCTGCAGTTCATTGGGAAATGTGTGCAGAAATTGGTCTGTCAGCAGAGCTGTGAGGAAGAGGCTTCCAGCAGTGGGGAACCTTTCCATGCAGATTTGGGTTTGTTAAGTAAAAAAACATCAGTAACAAAGCTAGCATGAAAATGGGGTAGGAGGAAATACTTTCATTAAAAATACCACACAGAAGGCAACAGTAAAGACAGAGGCAAGTGCAAAAGGTGAGGACAATTTAAAATTACCTTTTAAATTATTTAATTTTCCTTTAAACTCCTGTTTCCCTTCTTGCTTTGACAAATTCTGAGATCTATGTAGATACAGAAAATAAAGCTGTCATGACTCTCAAACTGTGTATTTCCAGTTGTGCATTTTGCAGCAACGGAAACAAAGTCACATTTGCTGGTTTATCTGAAGAGCAATGGGGCCATGATTTAACAACTGGAATCCAGATATGTTGCACAGATTTTTTTAAAGGCTAGTCTTCAGTATGTTTTTGTTCTTTTTTTTTTCTTTTAAAGTGACTCAATGACTTTGACCTGCTCTGAGGCTCTTTAACTGTCTTCCATTGCACCTCTGCTACTACTTAGTATTGACTGTTTCAGAATCTGATGGTTTAGTACACATCATGCTTCTTGCAGAATACATGCTCTGCTGCAGCTCCTTTTGAGGTCTAGCTCCTTAACTAACCCTGCCTGTAAAATTGCATTCTTATTTCACTGACCCAGTGGTGTTATATGTGGAATCTGTTCCTGCAATTGCTGTGGTAAGGTGCAAATCCTGCCTCTTGATAAGAAATGCAAAGCCAGGTGCTTTGTTGTATTGCAGGGAATGTTGATTCTCTGCAGTTTTGTGTAACAGCATCTCTGCTTCTGTTGTGCTAAGTGAATTCTTTAGGTTTAAGTGTTTTTGTTTTTGTTTTGTTTTTTTCTGATGGATGCAGAGCAGCAGAGGGGTGAGTTGCTTGCTGCACCATTCTGAACAAGCCTTTCCACACAGCCTAGCCAATAGCAGGTATGCTTTACAGGCCAGAAAGTCACAGGTCAATTTAACTAAGTATTTATTATTTCTTAGGTAATGGAGAAAATTGTAGGGTCTGTAATGGATAACTCAGCCTCACATCTTCCAATTATTCTTTCATATATTTGTGCCTATTGTTTCATTTCCTAGCTTTTGTGGTGCACGGAGGTAATAAATGGAAATCTAGATAGAACATTAATAGAAACAACATATGACAAAATTCTGCAAGTCTCTTGTGTTACAGAAATCTGTAAATGATGCCTCAGAATTTCTGCCTTTAGCTCAGCAAAGATGGGTTTTGTCCAGGTTTGTCCAGCCACATGCTAGGAATTGCCCAAAGGAGTTGTGGCTGCCCCTGGATCCAGGTCAGGCTGGACATTGGGGCTTGGAATACCTGGGACAGTGGGAAGGTGTCCCTGCCATGGCAGGGGGTGAAGCTGGATGAGCTTTAAGATCCAACCCCAAATGTCCTATGATTAACTACTCAAAGCATCAGAGCATTTTTCCATTTCATCCTCTTTCACTTAAACCTTGCAATTACCAGGTGTGCTCACTGCAGCAGGCCAGCAGCGTTTGGTCACTGAAAATGGATTGTGCACATTTTGTTCAAAACAAAAAACCACAAAATGTCACCTGGCTCACTTGATCCAAGGTGATGTGGGTGACTTAATTTCCTACCCTTTTTGTGTCAACTTACCAACTTCTAAAACATTTACTTCCTTTTTTTTATCTGCTTGTTTCAACATTTTTCTAAGTGTTCCTAAAGTTTATTTCCTCTTGGATTTTCTAGGACTATTCCAAGAATGGAGGGGAAATAGAATTCCCTTGAACTGATGTGCAGATCCTCAGAAAGCAGATGAGCTATTCCCTACCCTGCAGTGGGACAGAGCAGTCCATGAAGCTGGTTGTTTTAAGTGTTACTCAAATTGATCTTCCTAATTTGGATTAAGTTTTACTTAATGAGGAAGTAATGAGATTATCATAGACAAAAAGGACTATGTCTCTTTTGGGAACATACCATTTCTGAGACTTGACTTTATTTCAAAGAGAGCTATAATTCTTTCTTTAGGGGAATGTAAATTTAAATTACAATCAAACAATGGGATTTTTATAGAAACAGTTTTGACACCAAATGATAGAAGCATTATACTGTATTTTCTTCCTGTGGAAAGGATTGACTGCTGCAAGATTAACACGTTCTGGATGGGTGCCATTTTCAGATAGTTCAACTAGAAGAGAAAGGATCTGATTAAGGCATCAAGCTCATTATTTGTTTGTACTTCACACCCTACAATGGAAGTGAATCTTTGCCTCTTTTCCTTAACAATAATTAGGATCAGACAGTTCAACAACTGCATATTAATATGCCTTTTTTTTTTTTTTTTAATGAAAACAAGCAATAGCTAAGTGGTTAACATTAAACTTTAAAATCTTTTAAATAGCCTCCCACAAAATGTTCAAGACATAGCCAGATATTCAAAAGAGAGTACTGAAAATAAGGGATTTTGAGTTTGGGGATTTTCCCTGGGTTTGTCTTTTTTAGGAAGCTCTGCTCTAATTTATAATCCAAGTTCCTGTTGATGCTGTGTTTGCAGTAAGTCTGTACTTCAGCTCTGGTTTTTTGGTGGTGTAGCCCCAGCAGTACATTATGTGAGCCACAGAGAGGATTGGCACACCTGCTGCCACAGGATTCTGTGTCCTTCATTTGCACAAACCTGAGGGGCACCTGCTGTACTGCCACTGGTGATGCTGCTAAATTGTGTTTTGTGAAGGTTTGATTCATATTATTGATTTTTGCATTTAATAATGTGAGCGATTTAAAACATGCACAAGAAATTATGTTTCAAAAGGCATGTCTGACTCATTAAGCACTGTACCTCCCTGCCAGATATCCATCTGTCCTTTAGCTGAGAGGGAAAAATGGCACTGGTGACCCAGATCTGCAAAGGTTTATGTATGCAAACAACTTGTTGAATTGAGACAGTGGAATTAGGCTCTTTCAAAATTACTAGTTAAACTTGCTGGGATCACTCCCTTGTGGAACTGGGGCCTGGACTGAACCTGACTCATCCCCAGGAGCAGTATGTGGCAGGCACCAGTCTTTGCTTCTTCCACGATTGACACTGGGGAGTTTAATTTCTATTTAAATTAAAGCAAGGAGGATCTTGCCTCAATATTGGATATTTCCATATGTAAGAATAAACATAGGTCATATACCTCAGACACCAGCAAGGGCTTACATTAAGAATGTACTGAAGAGTTTGGTTGAGTTGGAAATGAAATATTTTCAGAGAACATGTTTTTATTGCCTAAAACAGTTCAGTGAATAGTGAAATACTAAATTGTCAAAGAAGCAGAAAAAGAGGTTTGACAAACCTTGTGCTTTTTACTGCTGCTAAAAGATTTAGCTGTGGTTGGCTGTAGGCAGAGCTGACTTGGCATTCTTTTGGGACAGATTTCTATGTACAGGGACTTCTGCCTGGTGGCTGTTTGGTCTTGTGCACTTTTTCTTTCTAAGATGCATCAAGGCTCCCAGCCTAGAGTCTGCAATGAAGTTTGAGCAAAGCTTTGAGGCAGGATATTGGAATTTAGGCTTAGATGGACTTTTATAGTATTGGAGAGGTTTGTAGCTATAACTGCATTAAAGCAGAAATAAATATAACTAACAGTGCTTTTATAATTTTGGTTGATAAGTTACTGAAGATAAAATGCAGATTTATATGAGTCTTGTCCTTTTCCAGAACCATTTTAGCATTCACTTTCAGTGTTTTAGTGAGGTCATAATGTTGAATAACAGAAAAGAATGCCTGTGAAAGGCTGAGATCAAATACAAACATATGACATCATTGTGGAAGAGAGGAACTGGTTGTCTAGAAGGAATAAGGACTTGGTTCATCAAATACAATCACCCTAAATTTACAGAAAGTGGCAAGTAATTTTTTTTTTGCATCAGTTCTTTTCTTGAGATGTGTTCTCTTGATTTCTTGTAAAAGGAGATGAAGCTCAGGTTAATGTGTGTGAAGTTTTGGTCGAATGCTGACACTAAATCAGAAATGTGTCAGTAGAAAGAAGATATTAACAATTTTCCAAATGAACAAATAAATAAATAACCCAGAGGGGTAGTTCTGCTGCTGCTAATCTTTCTAGTATCCATAGTTATTTTTCAAAAAGGACAGCATGTCTTGTGTTAGAAGCTTGTCATTTTAAGCTGGCCAGATGGACCCAGATTAGGATGACGGTTTCCCAAATGTGTAATACAGGAGAATGACGCTGATGCGGCAGCTGCTCAGGGAACAGTAATAAAAGGTTTTAATAGAGGGAAGTGGCTGTGATGGATCCAATCTTCTTAGAGCTTTTGAGTACTCCCAATTTTCCATCAGTGATATTTTTGCCTTCATTATATAGTGTAGATGAGAGTCACTGTAGTACTCCCTTCCCAAGTTTATCAGTAGAAGCAGTGCTCAGATGATCAGAAACCAAAAAAAAAGCAGGCAGGAGTAAGACTTGAGTGCCTATAGCAGAGGGCTGGATGCAGAGTGTCAGCTCACTGCAAAGTACACTGTAAACTGTCTTCAGTTGCAGTCTCACCTTATTATTGACTGACATGAATAGCTCTCTGTCAGAGTATTCCCCTGTACATTTCTTCTGCTGGTCTTCCTTCCCACCTTCCTGTTGCATTGTGCCATCCTTGGAATTTGTAGGGATAAACTAGGGTTTCATCTCACTAGAACAGTGAGGAAATAACTGCACAAATGAATAATTTTTTCTGCTCTACTATTTGTTGTGTTGCTGCTTGCTGTGGGACCAGGCAAACGTCAAAGGTGTGACAAAGAGATGAAATTTTGGCACAGTATGGCTGGGTTTGAGGGAGAGGATTCATGGGGAGCCTCGCTGGACATGACCTTTCCTCTCTGGTGTGACTCAGCTGTTGATTCAGATCAGCTGAAACACCTCAGGTGTATTGCTTTTATTTCTATGTCAGACCCAATGCATGCTTAGTTGAAAGCAAGGGGTTTGACACATACAAGACATTTTTTCCTTTGTTGTGTAACTTATTGCATCTGAAATATTCCATGTGATCCATGATGATGTGGGTACTTGATACATGCTGCTCAGCAAGAGTTGAGCCACTGCTGCCCGAACAACTGACCTGGTTTCACAGGTATTACTGCAGAGGGGGCTAAAAGGACCTAGGCAGTCTCCAAATGAAGGAAAGAACACCTCAAGGCCTGATCTTACATTTGGATTGAGGGACTCATGTTTTGAAAAGCACAAAGCAAAGAATAGATGAGCTATGTCACAGCATTACAGATTCATTAAGGAAATAGAATTTTATTTACTAAATGGTATGAGGCACATGAAATCTCTCCTAAAGTGAAAGAGAAACTGGAGGAATTTCTGTCTAATTACATTTTTAGGGAGATGTACCTCTTCTTGAAAAACAATAGATATTATTGAAAGTGTTTTAGATTACATCCACAATGTTGGTATTCTCAAAACATATATTTGTTCTTCAACAGGTATAAAAAATACATAAAATATAAAAATGGGTGAACTGGACCATGGAACATTGTTTTCATCTCATAGGATTGGTGGTGGAGGTAGGTATGCTATCATGTTTAAGTTTAATTTCTTTCTCAACTGTTTATGAAGCACTCTGCAATTAATAGCCTCATATAGAAGCTATTATAGCACCCTGGTTGTGGTTTGAGTTGGAAGGGACCCTAAAGCCCACCCAGTGCCACCCTGCCATGGCAGGGACACCTCCCACTGGCCCAGGCTGCTCCAGCCCAGTGTCCAACGTGGTCTGGGGCACTGCCAGGGATCCAGTACAGCCACAGCAGCTCTGGGCACCTGTGCCAGGGCCTGCCCAGCCTGCCAGGGAACAATTCCTTCTTTAGTTTCTGTCTGTATCCACCCTCCTTTTGCAGCTGTTGCCCCTCATGCTGTTACTTGCAAACCCTGGTAAAGAGCCTTTCCCATATAAGCCCCCTTTACATATCAAGAGGCTGCAATAGTTTCCCTGGAGTCTCCTCTAGCCAAACATACCCACCTCTCTCAGCCTGTCTTCACAAGAGAAATGTTCCAGCCCATTTTCATGGTCTCTGGCCAGGTTTCTGTCCCCCTGTGCCAGGGTCCTGGAGCTGGGCGTTGATCTCTGCAGGTCCAAGTGCAGAGCCGAGGGGCAGAACCCCTCCCCTGGCACCATTCATCAAATGAATGAATAGCTAAATTCCACGCTGCCTCTCCTGCAGGCCAGGCCCAGGCTGGCTTGCTGGGCTCCAGGGGCAGCTTGCCAGTATTTTTGCCTGCAGGATCCCCAGGCTGCTCTCCCCAGGGCTACTCCCATCCATTCAGTGCCCAGTGTCTGCCTGTCCTGGGGCACTGCCTGGCAGGAGGGCTTGGTGAAACCCTTCCCCAGTGAGGCATGTCTGGAGATGTGTTGTCAGGCTTTGTGTAGGCATGCAGCAAATGAAAATCCTGGGGGAGGCCTGAAGGAGGATCGTGGGATGGCTCTGCAGGATTTATTTTACCTTCTACCCGTCTGTAAAACCACATATCAGGCACAGCACTTCCAGCCACGGGGCTTAGTAGGGAATGTGGAAACATAACGGCCAATTTCAGTACTAAACAAAACTAAAGCAGGGGTTGTAAGGGAATGCCCGTTCCTTATCCCTGTAAGCCTCCCAGCTTATGTGGAATGACTGAGTATCTATGCATGAAGGCTTCACAGTGCCAGGGCAAAAGTTCAGGTAGCTCATTTACAATTGTAATTGTACCTCAATTTTATACCTTCAAAAAAAAAAACCTACTCCTGTTGCTCAACCGTAGGTTGCAATAAACATTGATGCAGTTTTCCAATCAGTGCAAGAAGGATGCATTTATTGAAACTTAAATATTTCTGTATTAGAAGTTACTACAATGCCTGTAAACACAGTTTATAATTAATTGATAACATGTAAATGAAAGACTTGTCAAATTAGCTTTTTGTAAACAGACAACTGGTTACTGTTTCTTATATAATTTTTACTGGTTTATGTTTGTTTCAAATTGTCATTCACCAATTAACTATATTGATACAAAAACTTCTAGTGTTGAAAACACTGGTTCTGATTTCTATCTAAAGAGCTTTCATTTTATGCCTAATTATTTCTCAAGAATTTGAAATGCCCTTATGTATTTTATATGATAACTAGACAATTTGGTGGTTCCTGCCAGAAATGCTTTTTACAGCCAGAAGTACAAACCTGTTGACTACAAACATCTGTATGACCTTGCTGCGGAGGCAAAAATGGCCTCTGCACAAATTCAGTTAAAGGTATGATTTTTGTTTTATTTGTCATGTGAATGCTTTTGAAATTCAGTGACCTTATTTCTTTCAGTAAAAAAGGGTAAATATGAAAGTTTATCATAGCTATACTGTGATTTGGATGTGTTAATGTCAATGTGGGGACTTCTGTCAGATCAGTGATGCAAAGTAAGTGTGGATTCTACTTCCTCAAAAGACAGGAAAAATTTGTATTTTCCTGCCTTGAGGAAATTCACCCAAATTTACTACATAATCCTGGAGGCAATGAAAAATTCGTGGGATTAAGTGAGAAGGGAAGACTGATCCAGAAAAAAAAAAAAAGCCAAACAAAAATATATGAAGTGAGGATTTCCAAAAGTCAAGCAGAGGGAGATCTTAAAAAGATTAAAAATGTTTATTAGCCATAAAATGTAAATGTAGGGCTGACAGAAAGGTATAGATTGGTGCAGAATGTCTCAAGGGGTAAAGACAAGAGGAGCCTTATTTAATCCTAGAGAAGGGTGAATGAGAGAACACATTACATACTTCCTTTATAATATTGCTTCTTTAGTGCATGTAGGCATCATGTATCAAACATTCTGGCAGATATTGCTTCATGGATTGGCAATACCAAATTCTACTGAAGTAATTCAAGCTTTATTTTTTCATCTTTCTTTTGTTTTTTCACCTTCTCAAGTGTTTTCCAACTGAGTAGGTAGTAAAATATATATGATGGAAGTACCAGAGAGGCTAGTATGTGTTCCACCTACTACTTTTTGTTGCTGATTCAAGCCATTCAGATTTTTAAGAGATGAGTTACTCTTCCTTTGAGGTAGAACCAAAGAAACAAATGGCAAATCAGCTGCTGACTACTTAAGAAATAAAAAGACAGTGCAACAGGGAAAAAAGAAAAAAGATAATATTGGAGCAGTTATACATAAATGGCAATGCTGTTGCTATAAAATAATTTCAAAAGCATGTTGAACTTTACATACAAAAGTACTTCAACATTTGTTTCACTTAGTTTTAGAATTGGTTTGAAGATTTTCAGATTGCTTTAAATACTATATTCTTTTCATATTGTAACAAAAGAAAGAAGTAACAGCAACATGTTTCATGAAATAGAGGAAGCTATAAGTAACTTTTAAAATGTGAAAATATGTAAGCAATAAAAGTGAGACATTATCTTTGATTCAAAAGTATTGTAGCATGGTGATGGAAAGCATGGAACACGTGTGTTCAAACCCAGCACAGGCCCACAGGCAGCGCCTGTAAACACCTCGTATCCCAGGCCCAGGCACACAATATCTCCAGAGCCCCTTTTGCAGCTTCTCACCCCAGTAACAGCCCCAAGGCAGGTTTGGTGCCAAGCAGGAAGGATCAGCCAGGAGCCAGATACACTCACCCCAAGGTACTGGGCTTGGCTTCATCTGATGTGTGTTTCTGGTATCTGAAGCAGGATTTTGACTCTGTTGGTGGGTGGCTGAGGGACTGCAATTGCAGAATTTCTTTGTCTGTGTGTGAGTGCTGCAAAGAGCAATTCTGCACCTTCTCCTGCTCGTGTCCCCAGCCCAGCTGGGCAGGAGTGGGAACATGCTGGGGGACACCTTTGTGTCTCTGGGAGCGTTTGCTCTGTGCCCTTGTGTGTGTGAATGCAGAGGGGTCATGGTGGGTTTGTGCAGCTTTGCCCTGGGCAGGAAAGTTGCAGGTTGTTTCCACCTGAGCCAAGTGGAGTCCCAGCAGTTTTGACCTGAAACATCATTCCTTTGCTGAACTAGATGTGGAGTGAGATCTTTAGTCTCCCTTTTATGAACTAAGACAAGACTTTCCAATGTATTTTTCTTGCCTTGCTGCCATTTTGCCATAGGACAATGTATCTGTGTGAGGAAGAAGCTGGGGAGGGGGAGAAAGGGTCAGTGCAGGAGCTGTGGGAGTGCTGGGCTGCAGACAGGTGTTCTGGAGGAGAGGGATGGCAAGGGAGCACCAAGAAAGAGGGGAAAGGAGCTTTGTCCTCAGCATGCACCGAGAGGCCAGAGAAAGTCACAGTGGCAGGAGGGTGAGAGGAAAGCACTTCTCACAGGCTGAGATTCTTCTGAGCCTTTTTCCTTCATTGTTGGCTGGCCAGAGTCATCTGGTTCCACTTCAGCAGCCTTCTCCTGGCAGGATTTCCTCTGGCTTAAGCAGGAACTCCATCTGTTTCAAAAGCAGGTACTCCTATTTTATCCAAAGTGTGAAGTAATGCTTTTGTGAAGTCCTCAGTTTGAGAGCCTCTCTAATTGGATAGATTTTGTAAAAAACCTCTTTTTTAGTAATACATTTTTGAAATTCTTTTTCTTGACATACTTTCAGTCTTTCATCTTCCCACCTGTAAGAAGGTATGTTTTTTGTTCTCCTGCTTATCTTTGCTCAACTTTACCTCCCAGGACATAGGGATGGAAAAGGAAAGAAGAAAATGAACTGATTTTTTCCCCCCTTCTGCTCTCATGAATTGTGATTTGAAATGCAATAAACTTATTTAATGAAAATTGGTTACATTTGACCCCATTGTTCTTTAGAAAAACACAGTTTTTGGAAAAGCTATTAGGCTCATCATTCTGCATTTAAAAGTTTCCATGTGAAGGCATTTGATAAAGCTCTTGAATATGTTCAAAACACAACTTTAATTTTCCCTGCAGATTAAAAAAGCAGAGCAAGTTTCAAAAATTAGCAAAGAGCAAACGCTGCTGAAACAGCATCGTCAGATGTGGTGGCAAGAGTTTAAAAAGCTGAGTGAGAGCAGGTAAGGACTGAGGAATCTGAATGAGTGTTTACTAAAGAGACCAGCAGACAGAGGTTTTGGCCTGGCATACTTAGTTCAAGGGACAGTGAGAAAATAAGATTATAATACCTGATCTGAAGGTATTTTTGTGTGGGGAATGAAGGTTTGTGATCCACATGGAGAGGGGTCTGTGACATGAAGCACTCACCTGAGGGAGGGGGGAACAGGGAACATTGCTCTCAGAGCTGTTCAGTTGATCTGCAGCATCTGAAGACTGTGTCTCTGTAAGAATATCAAAGTTTTCAGATCCTTTAGAGTCTGTCCCTAGGCTGTGTGTTGAGGTCACACAACAGGGGACATTAACAATGCTCTTGTCCATTACCCGGTGTACTCAACAAGAGCATTTGTGGCTTCTTTGCCATCTGTGTCCAAGTCCTTCACTTCATACCTTCCCAGGGAAAGAATCCCCCTTTTTATATAATTATTGGCGTATTTGAGACTCATCATTCTTGCAAATATAATGAATAAGAAATTAAATCTGTAAAATGCATGTTCATTTCCTTCAGGCAAAAAGCAGAAGAAGAAATGAAGACTTTTCTTGATGAAGACAGCCATAAGAGCAACTTTTTTTTTGATTTGAGGGACTTGGGTAAGAATGTTTTATTAATTTCTTTTTTTTTTTTTAGTAGTCAACGTTATCTTGATTGTTTGTTTGAGTTTTTTTAATCCCTTCCTTGAAAGGTTTAGGTTTACAGAGCACAGTGCTGTGTAACATTTTTTGTGTGTTTGAGAAAGCTTTATGTTCTTACAGAGCAGAAATTGTCCAAGGAGTGGGACACTTATCAAACAAATGCTTTAGTTCCTGTCTGGCAGCTGAAGGAGGATTTGAAACTCGAGCTGTCTAAAATGCAGCGTTACCTCTTAAAAGAATCTTGTCAAAAACCCAAGATCAATTCAGCTGAGATGTTACAGCAGGTTGGTATTTTAACTTTGTTTTTACAATTTACTATCACCATATTTTTAGCATTTTCTTTTTTTTTTTTTTTTTTTTTGTTGAACTTTGAGACTATAACTTACATGCAGAGTGTGCCATAAACCCCCTTCCTTACCATGGTGTAAATCTGCTCACCAAAATCTGTAAAAGCGTAGCAGTGTAGGGCTGGAAATCTGACTCTGTTTCTAAATAAGAGTTTTCATATTGTAGCAAGAAGAAGAGTAACAGTAACATGTTTCATGAAATAGATCAAATTTATGAAGAAGCAACAGAAGGCAATTTTGGAAGGTCTCATCCTTGAGAGTCTGGCTTTGGAAAGAGAGCTCAAAGAGTGCAAAGAAAATGTAAGCTTTTCCTTGTAAGTTCAGGTAGAAGTTCATTGAGGGGGTAAAAATGACGCAGAGTAGTGTCCTGAGCAGCATTTCTTCATTGCAGGCATTAGTGCACTCTTCTGAAGAGAAAAACGGGCTTTTCCTTGAAGTTCCTCCCGAGCTGCTGGCTCTGGAATGCCCTTACCCTGACCTGAAGGCCTTGGTGATGGAGGAGTACCAGGAGCTCGCCAGTGGCTACTGGGCGAAACTCCAGGAGCTGGATCAGCAGCTGGAAGCTTTAGCTAGGTACTGCCATGGCTGTGTACATCCTTTGCAGGGATGAACTGTGACCTGAGGTGTGGTTTGGAAGCTGAGGGTGCTGTGGTTGGCTGTGCCACTCGGTCTGGCTCTGCTCTGTGCAAGCAGTGGAGGCACAAGTTGGTGTTCTAACGGCTGGGAGTGAGGAGAGAGGCCAGGCCTTGCAAGAGTTATCAGCTGAAATAACAAGCAACAGGTTTGGTGGATTAAGGAACCAACAGTCTGATGTGCATCAAATGTCCTTTTCTTATGCTCTTGCAGGAATGGAAATTACTCCTTCTGTATGGTAATTACACTAGCAAGATTATGACAGAAAAGTACAGTATTTTTCCAAGACACACCTCCAGTGCTTTTATCTACCAAGCAGATAAAAAGGTCCAATCTTTTCACAAATTTTGGATCACTGCAGTAATTGTCATCACAAACAAATATAAAAGATGTATATAGCTCTGATTCAGATAACCAGAAGGAGAGTTTTTCTGTAAATGAAAGTGTTTATTGAAAGAGCAGTATTCATAATCTAGAAATGTAATAAACCTGTATATTAATAATATAATGCTTAGCCTTTCTGCTGAGGCTAGAATCCAGGAGATACTGAGTTGTAGACATTGCATGATCTTTGACTTGTTTTTTCCATCTCCTGATATTCCTTTGGATGGCTCCAGTCTGTCAAAAGACTAAGAAGAGGAAAGCCAGTGGAATGGTTTGAAGCCTGGGCAGGAGAAACTGGGGAGAACAGGAAGGTCCCTGAATTTCTTTGGTAAAACAATCACATATTGCTTCCAAATCTGTTTTCTGTGTTCACATATAGTGCAGTGTTTGTTCTGTCCCTGATGCTAAAGATGCTGGCTGCCATAGGAAGGGATGTTGTGACCTACTGTATGTTCTTCTTGTGTTACCTGAAACATATATGTTATTACTGGAGCATCCTAGGTGTTAGAACGTGATACTTATTGAAAATTATTTAGATTTATCCCACCAAATTATTTTGATTTATGAAGCCACAAATGGTTTTTAGCAGTTCTTTTGCTGCTCTCTCTGATATTTTGTTAGTTTCTCTTACAGAATAAGTTTTAACAACCTTAATGAGAAAATCTGTGACAAGTGCTAAATCACTAAATATGTACAAAGTCTTTCTAGTGGTTTTAATCAAAATTGTGTCAAAGTTTATTATCAACACAATTTTGGTGAAAATTCATAAATGAAAATCCTTTACTCGCACAGCATGTATGCTAATAGATGTGGATATAGACAAAAATTTCTGAAAATGGTTGAAAAATCTGCTGTAGTATTTTCAATGATCATAGGCCAGGTACAAGTTTAGGTCTGGAACTAGCTAATTTTGCACCAATAATTAAATAATACCAGGACTTAAAGATAAAATGCCATATTTTCAATGAAAAGAAAATCAGCTGTAGCCTGAACACATGTGCAGTGGCACTTTGAAGGAAGGAGGGTGTGATCTCTAGATGGGAAAAATGCAGTGGATGCAGCTGGAGGACATGCTGGTGCAGGAATCTGCTGGGGCTGTAAGAGGCTGTAGGGCATAGACCCAGTTTGGGCCAGTGTGCCAGTCCTGAGAACTGGAAATGGAGAGAATCATAAATGAGCCACCAGCCAGCATCTCAGGCATTTGATTTAAAACTAGACCTTGGGGACTTTTGTTTGCCTTCTGGTCACCAAATATTTAATGTATTGCTCATTTATGTTCCAATTATTTTATCCACAACAGGATTAAAAATGAGTTTTCAATTTAAAAAAAAAAGAAAGACTTTGTTCTTATAGCAGTGGTTGCTTCCAAGGTATGGGTTTGTAAAACTCAACTCACTTTTTAAATTTATATTTGCTAATTTGCATGGAGATATCCTATGACTTTGCAAAGATGCAGCCTTGTGATTGAAGTATTCTATAATTCATCATGCTAACTGTGATCCAACTGGCACAGATAATGCTGTCAGAAATGGAGTGATAGGTCCTTGACCTTGGTGTGTATCCCCTGTGCTCTACTGGTTCATACAACCTTAACAAAGCCTTTGAGTTACTGTCATTGCTCTGTGCCCAGGGAGACACACATCCTCCTGCAATACATTTTTTTCTTATTTTTGCCATTTGAGAAGTTGCTCAGTAGCACATGATTCTATGATAACACAATAACTTGGTCACTTGGCCACTTCCTGTCTCATCATATGTTGATTGTACAGTAGAGAAACTTTCAGGTAATGCTACTCTGGCATTGCACATACCATTTTTTAACAGTTCAGAGTGTTTGGAACAGAGAATTTGGAAAATATGCATAAAATGTTCAAAAAAGAAACTTTAGAATAAGATAATGTTCTGATCTAGTCTATTCTGTGTGATTTTCATTCACACTAGAAAGCACATTGCAGTAGTTGTTGCTTTTAGCAAGGAAAGAAGAGCTTGGGTTTGTTTGCAAGCCTTATACAGGATTACAATATTTTATAATCTAATTTAGTTTTTTTTGATGTTGCTGAAACACAAATTTTTGTGTTTGGGAAACACCTAGGTCATGAGCTATCCCACAAATTGTGGGCTTGGAGTGATGTGTGTTTGAATGATTTTCTAAGCACTATTATATTTTTTCCACAATTTCCAAGGATGTCTGAATTGTTTAAATTGCTGAAGGATGAATGGAGTATTGCAGACTCAGCACTGCGTCCTTTGCAGGGTCCTTTCAAAGGAATGGGAGAGGAGGACAAAGTCGAGCGAGTTCAGCTCCTCTCCCAGGCCCTTCCTGGCTGTTTCTGGTGCAGCAATGGGCAGTGCTCTCCGAAACAGCAGGGCCTTGGCACCTCGCTTGGTGGCACTCTGTGTGTGGTGGCACGGTGGCACTCTGTCGTGGTGGCACTGTGCGTGCCTGCAGATGGACGCGGCAGTGGGGACCAGCACTCCCGAGGGATCTGCGGGATTCCAGCGGGGAGAGGGAGCTTCCCCTGGAGCTGTTTGTATTCCTTGGAGTGTGTAAAGCCGGGGATTAGTGCTGGGCAAATCTGTTTCAAGGGAAGCAGCTGCCTCGCGGCTGTGCGTGTAAGACAATTGCTGCATTTCAGCTCTGAAACAAAATAAAGATTGTGCTGTGCTCTGGTACAATGCTGCATACAAGAAAACCAAGCTCTACATTTAAAATTTGGGTCAGGCGTTCAGCCTGGCAAATGTTTGTCAATATCTTGACAATGCAGAAACTTGATAATACCTTAAATATTCATGTCAAATGTGTTGGCACTTTTCAGACTTGTTCTAGATGAGATATTCTTGCTGGATATTTACAGAAGTGTGAGGTGACATCTCAGATTCACTAAGCAGGATATGTTGAAATTCTCCATGTGTTTGGTGGCTATGAATATGCTGGGCTGGGTCATGCTGGTTTGGGGTTTTTTGTTGTTTGTTTTTTGGTTTTTTTTTTTTTTTTCCCCACTGTTTTTCTATGAGCAGCTGACAAAATCTCAGCACAGCTGACAAATTTTGGCACAGCTGACAAATTTTGGCACAGCTGACAAACCAAGATATTGGCAGCCAGTTTGTCCCTACTTACAATAAACTACTTGTAGCTCTCTCTCCAGCTGATTGCTCCCCAAAGGATCTCCCACAAAAATTTCTCCTTGTTTCAGGCAGTGCAGAGATTGATGGTTAGCTGGCCATTGGAGGAATGTAAATCAGAGGGAGCTGACAGAGGTGGAGGGGCAGAGTGGGTGCAGTTGCAGAGGAGCTGCAGAGGAGCTGGCCATGGGCTGCAGCATCTCTGCTGGTCCCTGCTCTCGAGTTCCTGGGGAAATGCCCTGACCAAGGGGTATCTTACCCTTACCCTGCCTCACTCCTCTCTGTAGGCAGAAGGCCTCTGTTTGTTCACCAACCCGCAGGGCAGAAATGTCCAAGGTAAAATGTTACAAAACAGAATCTCAGCTCTTAGAACTGTCTCCCTGCTGTCACTAAAGTGGCATGTTCAGGTGTCACCATACTGAGGTGTGTCAGGACTCACAGAGGAGAATTATTGATTTATTTAATATAGATCATAGAGTCTATTTTAATGTTAATTACTTGTGAGTTTCTCACAAAAATCCCCTTTTTGAAGCACCTGTTCTTTCTGCCTGCCTAAGGATGAGGTTGTTCCAACACCTTACTGGATGCAGTGCTATGGAATACTGAGGCAGTGCTGCTGGCCTGGGGAGTCCAGGAACTGCAGCAGCTGGAGGCAGCAGGAATTTGGGGGGTTGGTAGAGTCTCATTATTGCCGCCTTTAATTATCCCTGGGCTCTTAGTCACTTCTGAAACCAGGTCACTGGGCTAGAGAGACCTTTGGTCTGACTCAGTGTTGCTGCTTGGATGTTAATGCTGACAATGACAGCCTGACATTAATCCCTTCAGGGCCAAGAGTTCAGATTGAGGCTACAAATCTGCATCCCAGCCTGTGGTATTCCTTCAGATAGATGTTACTTCTTGCTGCTTCATTTTCTGAGACAGATGCATGCAAACTGATTACTACAGCTCCTACTCTAAAAAATGGTGACTCTTATGCCTTGATGATGGGTTTATGGCTGTTAGGAGTTTGGTAAACTAGATCCTTATTTAGCTGTGTGCAAGGATTGTCACTTTATTCATTCCCTTTTGATTATTTTAGTGCTCATTGGTAGAGTCTGATAATCTTGGTTTTTTTTCACACTGTATTTTCCCTGTGGGGTCACTGATTATCCAATTATGTGGCACGTTTGAGAAACACAGTGACATTCCCCAGTAAAGGCCAGATTAGAAACAGGACAATTCACTCAAATGATGACATGGGAAGTGTCATATCAGCAGAGCAATGTATGTTTTCTTTATTTTGTTAATCTGATTTTGTCACCTCTAACCCAACATCTGGTGTACAGCATCAGGACTGTGAGCCCACTCGAGGCTGGACTGTCCAGAACCAAACTCCTCCTTTTCAATGGTTAAGTTTTACTGGGATGGATTGTTTTGTATTCCTATAGGAACAGTGACTGGAAGGAAGAAGATCAGTGGGTTTTCCAGACTGTTATCAATCAGTACCCAAGTGATCTTCAGAGGAGGAGGACTTTGTACTTGGATATGCTGCAGAGGTATCTTCCCCACAAATCCAGGCAGGAGCTGGTCAGTGCTGGTTTACCTATTCATTCGAATATACAAATTCTTAAACCTTGTAGTGAACAATTTTATTAATGAATGTATGCTTATTGAAGTTTTTTCATCTTAAAATTTCTTAATTATAAATTTTATTCTGCACAGTAAAGAAGAAACATCCCTGTTTTTAAAATGCAGGAATTATAAAACCTATCATCTCTTCAAAACAACTCCTGGGCAGATTTTTTAGTTCCACATAGTCTTACAGCCAAACTCACAAAAATAATTTGTTAGCATTGCTTCTGCTGTACAATTTTATAGCTGTGTTATGCCACTTTGCTTCTCTTGGTGTTTTCATTTTTCCTGAGGATGTACAGCCTTGTTGCACTGTCTTGGAATAGTTATTTTAATTGTTCTTTGGCACATATATAGCACGAAGAGTAGAAAGTAATCTCTCACTCTAAGGGAGAGGCTATTTTTATATACATAATGCTTTCAAATTGATTGCTGATTCCTCTTGCACTCCACAGTGAATAAGCACATAGCAGCTAATTGAGAAACCCATTTCAAGGCCAGAACACTTCAGGATGTCATAAGCAAAGTAGGAGGCTTTTCTTATCTGTCTGTATTTTTAGACCACCTACTTCCCTGTGTTTGAGGAGTGTCTAGTGCAAAGGAATGACAGTGAAGTGATACTGCTAATTAGCCAGAGTTTCACTAAAAATAAAGTCCTTGTGGATTTCAGAAATTTTGCCCTGGACTGAATAAGGCTGAGAAGCCATGTGCTTTGGACAATGCAGGTGTGTTTTAAGCACAGCCACTATTACTGGGTCTCCCTACACCTTGGAAGGTTCATTTAAAATTTAAAACCACTCAATTTAAAAATCCTAATTCCACCAAGCTGATGTGTCTTGGTATATGTATTAGCATGATGACTATGGAAATGTTAAAACACTGCCAAGAATCTGTTCTTAGAATGTGTTTGTGTCACACTGGAACAGCAGCCTAGAGCCTTCCTCACCTCCTTGCCCCTGGTGCAGAGTGCTCAGGGGTCAGGTCAGGCACTCGGGGTCTGATCCCAGAGCGGATCCTTGGAGAGCTCTGTGTTGGGAGGAGCAAACTCCAGCTGCTGCCTTGCTCAGGAGTGTCTTGGCTTCAGGAGCCTGAGAGTCTGGGGCAGCAGCCCTGGCAGTGGCAGCTGCTGAGGCTGAGTGCTATGGTTTGGCCGTGGGGAAGCTCGCCGTGCAGCTTCAGCCAGGAGCTGATAGGAATATCTCTGAGCCAGGCACCAGGTGAGTCAGCATTCCTGCTGCCTGCCAGAGGCCTGGAATTAGCATCTGGAATGGTCCCCTTGACACCTGAGAGCAGCCAGCCATCTCTAGAATCTCATTCATCCCTATATATTTTGGGGATATAACACAGGTTCAAGACTCTACTGCCTCATTCTATGCAGCCTTACTTGATACTGCTTCCATCAAGGTCTTGTACCTTGAATATCCTTTTGAACCTCACTGAATTAGGCCAAAGCAAGTGGGTTTTGGATTAAACATTCCCCATTTTTGCTAGGTGGTGACACTGGTGGTGGCACTGTGATGCTTGGCAAACTAAGATTTTGTTTCCAAATTTCCTGGTAGGAAAGAAGTGAAGAGGATTCCCCCCTGTACTGCTTTTGTACAATTGCTGTTATTGGTGTCCTGTTTCTCTGCAGATCAGAATTTGCTAGGAAAAGCCTCATCTTGCTGGACGTGTGCTCAATATCTTTGGAGATATATTGAAGTACCTACTTAAATCTTATGTCCTTCAGGGCGGGGAGGGACCGTTGCATTTAATTTATTCCCATTGCAAAAGTGTAGCTGAACAGAGAGCAGTGCGCCAGGAGGATGCTGTGGTGGTGGAGGGTGTCACTGCCCGACACCCTCCAGTGTGACATCCCTGGCACCACCCCTGGCACCAATATTGGTGATACAAGAACTAAATCAATTACATGCCAGGTTTCCAAAAGTGTGTAGAATTTCAATTTTATTAAGAAATAGTTTTTAAGTCTTTCTGAAGTGCCTTCCTCTTTCAGGTTGTTCATGAGAAGGCTTGGAATCATTACCACTCCATCAGGAATCGGCGCAGAGTCTTGCTGTTAACCTGGGCTCAGGTTAGGAAAGCCTTTGTCCTCAGGGCCATGGCTACTGCTGCTGAAGCTGCTGCTGCTCATGAGGAAGAAGTGGTGCTGGCTGATTCCAGGCAAAAGCAACTGGAGATCTGTGCTGATCTGAAAGCAAAGGTATGTCTGGTTATAAATCCATCACCAAATCTGTATCTAACAGATACATTCAAAATGAAGATTTTTACATTAGCACTAATCTGTTTTCAGATAAATAATGGCTATCTGTCTGTCCTTCTAGTTTTTTAAGAATGCTCTTTAAGACCTGAAACAATGGATCCCATAACTTGTTTGGCCTTGTTATAGAAGGTTCACAGTATTCTGATTTACTGTGGTAAGAGGTGAAAAAAGATAAAAATACCTGTGTGGTTTTGGTTAATGAATAGAGTAAAGTGGGAGGAGGCTGGACACCAGAGGAAGATGTTGTGATGTTCATGCCTAAGGTGTTTGTAGGAGGAATACCATTTCTGGGCATGAGAGGCATGTTAAGATTTGTTTAAACTGCTCTCTGTGATTTTTGACTTGCACGGAAATGAACATCTGAGAGCATGCATGATGTGTTATTCTCACTTTACCAATATTCTCTCTGCTGTGCCCTCACTTTTCAGTGAAATACTAAACACTTGATTTAGGTTTCCTACAAGAAGGAAAGCATGGTAAAACCTGTTCTGTCAGGCAGGATTTTGATGTTGATGCTAGTTTTTAGTTAGCAATAACACAAAAGCCTTTCTGTCTTGTGTTCTGGAGCAGTCTGGCGTAGGAAGGTTTAAATCTAAACACTTTAGGGTTAGAAACTGTCTGGGCATGACTAAGTGGGGAGCACCCTGCTCTGATTCCTGTGTCAGCCTTCCCTTGAGCCAGGGGCAGGAAGGAGTGGTTCTTTGGAGCTGAGGGGATGTTTAGTGATTTTTTACCTAGGCCTTCCTTTCTGGAATGCCTGTGTGTTTTTTACCTGCACAACCAGAGATGGAAGGGCCAATTATTCCAGAACTGTGAATTTAAGTCACTTTTCCCTGCTTTGTTTCTTATACTTTTCTTCCACACAAGAAGTAACAAGTTGGTTTTGGAGTACTTTGTTGTCTCCATGTAAGATTTTATCACAGATGCACTGAACATTGTCTGAAAGGTTTTTGGATTCTGACCTCCTGTTTCCAGAAACTGTTTGAAACTTAAACCTCTTAGGCCTACATTTTTCAAGGGTGACTTCAAAGGGATCTTGGTTAAAATGTTGAATGTTTGAACAAAACCAACTCACCTGTTCCCCAGAAAAGAGGAACGAAAAAGGAACATTTCTTTCATTAAAGGAGGATATCATTGTGACCTTGTTTTGATCAGCTGAAAGGGCTGGAGGGCGGAAGCTGAGCTTGGGCACAGAGCTCACTCATTTTCAGAGAAATGATTCTCAGTGTATCCATGGGCTCTGTTTTGGTTTGATGGGGATATGCATTTGAAAACTTGTGACTTGTATTTCTACACTTCTGAACTTTACAACTACATAGTGTTGGACACAGAAAGCAGCTGCTGGCAGGTAAAAGGGAACTCAGTCCAGTACCAATTCACACAGGTAAAACCCATCCTGAGAGAGATCCATAAGATGGGTAAAAAATGAGTCTCTCTCTGAGGGAAAAAGTGTGGAACTGGAAATCCGGGCTTAGGGCTGTTCTTCCAGCTTTTCTTTTTGGCCATTGATTGACTTAACATTTTGCATTTCAGGAAGTTTCGCATCAGGAAATCTTACTTGTCGCCCCTTCCAGAGGGGCAGTGTAGTTGCTATAATGATTTACCTGTAAGTAAACCCTGGGTATGCTCCTGAGGAGGTTGTATCTGACTGAGAGGGACAGAGATGTCCTTCGTTACAGCAGCAGGTTTCAGAGAGCCACAGCTTTTATGTTGACCCCATCTGTTAAAGGAAAGAGATGTAATATCTGACAGCTTGTGCCCTGGTTTAGTTACTGTAATAACCATGTGGTATCACCCAGCTTTTATACAGTTCTCTTCATCTGACAACAACAAACCAAAGGGGCAGCAGTTTGACTAAGGAATACATGATTTAAAGCTGTTTCAAATGCACTAGAAGCACCTATGCCATTGGTGAGACTCTAGGCTTTGTGACTGACAGGGAGGGATAATTAAAAGGTAAAGCAGCAGAGAAGTTAAATTCATATTTATAGCAGTTTTTACTTGGGGAAAGGACCTTCAAATTTTAATTCCATGTTCCATCTTATGGAAAATCAATGTGTGTCCTTAACAAGAATCAGAGTCCCTAAGGAGGAACTTTGGAATGACTGAAGAAGCTCAGGTGAAATAAATCACAAGGACCGTATGGTAGCTATCAGAAGGAAATAAAATGTGAAATGGATAATGCTGAGGAGGTTGCACTGTACATTCTTAAAGAGTAAATGTGCCTGGTACATGTCTTTAACATCCCTGTTTGCCGTGGGAAAGCAAACAAAACAAACAGTGAGGGCTCACACTTTGAGTAACCAAGAGTCACTGAGATCTGGTGTGCTTTGAGCTGTGGGAATCTGATCCCCCCAGGGTTCTGGAGCAGACACTGTGTAAAACAAATTATATCTCTGTAAAATTCCTTTTTCTAAACAACACAGAGAAGCAAATTTTTCCACGTTTCAAGGCAGGTAAGGCACGCAGTGAGGAGTGATCTTTTCAGAGGATGAGGAGGTGCTGCCTCACAGCTGGGGTTTGAAGTACTTGCTGTACTACATCACAAATTCAGTTGAGGTGTCTGCGTGCATTCCAAACATTATTTTTCTATTGAATCTATCTTAAAATATTTGTAATCAGGTACTTTCCGTCTTCAATGAAAATTCCTTTAAAAGAACACTTGAGGAAAGACCTACAGCAGCAGGCATTAGGGCGGGTGGATCCCTGTGTGTGCTGCTTAGGGGGTGCTTTTTCTTCCTCAGCACAAAGCTCTGTGTCTGCTTGCCTTTAAATCTCTTCTCTCCCTCATTCTGTGCTTCAGGAGTAATCGCCACTCCAATGCTAAAATCTCTTACAACTCATTGTGAATTTTGGGAGTGCAGCTCTTGCATTTCTTATCCTGGCAGAAACTAAGATAAATTAATTAAAAAAAAAAAAAAAAAAAAAAGCACTAGGCAGAATTAACAGGGGTATTGTAAATTGTATAAAGCATCTTGCTTTATACTGCTTTCCTTCTCCTTTCCTGTATTGTAAGAAAGGATGTGACGGTAAACTTAGGAAAAAAAATTTCCCTATTCAAGTCACTGGTTTAAATGCTGTGACTATCAGAGGAGATCAACATTGAAGTATCATAACTGAATGTTAAAAAATAGCCACAGAGGTATCAGATCCAGTGCTTTGACCATAATCTCATCATTTTGAAGGAAACTTTTTGAAAGGATAAATATTTGAATAGTAAGCTACTTAAAATAATTGTTTTATTTTTCAGAAGTGTTGTCTATTCACCACCGAGTTGACCTATTCATTTGTTGGACATAAAAGATACAAGGAAGTTGTAATAACCTAAATTTTAAATGTAGCCACTCATGTTTGTGGTGATCTGAAGAGCTGTAGATGCTACAGTATTTCTCCAAAATGTATGCAAGCAAGAGTGTAAGACTCTAACATTCATCAGAGATGAGCCAGCTCTGACTCAGTAACAAGTTTTCAATACAGACCTAATAAACCTGGATTTAATAGACCTAGGTCAGCACAGCACTGACGTATTTTGTGTTTTGGGTCAGACAAAGCTCATGCCTGGTACGTGGGAAGCACTTGCAGAGGTTGTCTCTGCACATTTGCCTTGCTTGCCCTTCCACCAGTCTTTCCCCCTGTTTTCCTGTACCTGTGTTCCATCACATGGTGTTGTTATTTCTGATCTATCTGCTGTTGAAATTTCCTCCCACTGTGTTTCTGAAGTTTGTCTAGCTGCCCTGGGCAGGACTGGGTGCCCACAGAGCCCTGTGCTCCTGGGAAGCTGCCGAGGGCAGTTGGCCAAAGCACCGAGTGTGTTCCTTTGGATTCCTCCAAGGACACGCTTACAGCTTTGGGCCTGATCCACTGAGCTTAAATTGCAGCTTTTGGGAACAGGGACTGCAGGGTACTGCATGGGAGGAGACCAGGGGCTGATTTGAGTGCTCTGAGATCCATTGAAACAACCCACAGCACCCCAGAACCTCAGCTACTCCGAGGATCACGCAGGGGCTCAGTCTGAGATGTGACCTGCTCAGCTACCTGTCTGCTGGTGAGGTCTGGAGTATGTCTGAGACAAGCACTTCTCTCTCAAATCTAGCTGAAATTGTCTAGTGACACCTAAACTTGCTTGAGGATGGATAACTAGACAAGCAGATAGCTCCTGCTTCTTTTCTTAGAAAGTGGCACCTCAGGCAAGCAAAGCTGCACCAAAATTTTGCAGTTGTAAAGGATCAAAGGAGCTCTCATCCATATGATGGCAGATGGGTCTAGAAGAGAGAATTCTGAATCTAAAAGAAGCAATTAGATAAGTAGTTGTAAATAGAAATGCAGCCTATTTCAGGTTATGCATGTGTGAATATTTAAGCCTACATAATATTTACACATGTTAATAAAATGTTGACATTCCCATTGTCAAGAACAGAAAGATGTTCCCAATAATGCTGGATGAGGAAAGAGAGGAACTACAAGGACAAACTGTGAGAAATAAACTGTTCACACACTGCCTTGAGCGAAGCTGATGTGACATGCTGTCAGCCCCAGGGAACTGGCACTGCTCCTGTTCTGGATCCCAAGTTTTACCAGTGCTGATCCCAGCCCTCACTGAAATTGGTACATATTGTTCCTCCTCAGGTCATGATTGGGGGCTGTGCTCAAGTGCTTTTCTTTCATATCCCTTTTTCAGATTTAAACACTTATATAACTGAAGACAATATTCTGTTAATGATCAAGACAGTTACTTTTAACCACTTTTCTGGTATTTATTTTTTTAACCTCTTAGAGGTAGCCTGTGGAGCACAAGATGCTCAAGAGTACCCATCAAAAATCTATTAGGGATGTGAACTTCCATTGTTTTTCTAACCACAGCCAGAATGAGATTATCTTCTGAGATTTGCAAATTTTTAAATCTATTATTTCTTATCCTATTTCCAGATGCTCTAATGCTA